GTACACAGAGCCCCTTAGCGAATTATTCATCCATCTCGTGATTTTTGGTTGCTTTCTGTAAGGCAAAAATAACTTGGTTTGCGGTTAACACAAAACATTCAACAAACTGCTGGTTGGAGACACCTCAGATTTGAATGCTTTATCACAGAAGACAACCCTGCTTGGCTTTCTTACAGAAAACAAGGGTGTGACAGTTCAACATGACAGGTTTCACTTGATGTCCCTTTCTAGTTTGTTCTTTCCACCATTTTAGGATTGATAATCAGTAAGAAAGAGGTTTTACCACCTAGCTTGGTAACTCTGGAAGAGATTTTGGAAAATTAGAGCATCTTTGGGCTTAGTGACTCTGTTCTACTCTCAGTACCGCAGAAGCACATGAGCCCTCCTTATTCAAGAGCTGGTTTTGAGCATGTTCTTATTTAAGAGGTTGTCTTCTTTCTCTGGCACCACTGACTGCCCTAGTGCCAGAACCACAGAAGCAGATTCAGAAATGAAGTATGAGGATGGAGGCAAGAGAAAGGGCGTGGAGAACAATGAAAAGCTCTGCAAGGAATATAGAGAAACACTACAGAGTTTCTGTTGTCTTCTCCTTCCCTTTAGCTGTTCTCATCTTCTGTAAGACTGAGAAACATGACAGGGCCATCTTGGCCTTGGCCTGCCTGGGAACAAGGAAGGTAGATTCTCTCTGACATCATTTTGTATCTGCTGTGAAGCTGACAGTACAAGTCGGGGAATGGGAAATGTGCATGGACACATCAATGCAAGGAAGTTTCTGAAATGCAGAAGTAGATTTTGAAGTAAAATGACTGGATTGTAAATGCTAACATAAAAGCAGAAAGTTACCTACACAGCGAGCATCCTCAATACCTCTCCCTGCCTCTTCCTCCAATGACTGTGTAGTCACTGTCCTCAAAAACTTGCCCCACTTCCCCAGGGCAGAGTAACCAAAATGCAGTAGTTCAGTGGAAGCAACTAGCTCTGAGCTCATTCGCATGTTTAAGTCTGTTCCCTGATTTTCAGCAAAGATGAGCATTTCTGAGGTCCTAGGAGCTGCGACTATGCCGCAGCTCTGAAAATCAGGCTACCTACAAGTGGATTTAAGTGCCTGAATTTATTTAAACCTTTCCTGTACCATGTCTTGCAAGACACATACTGTTTCAGGTAGAGAATCAACTTAAAACTTCCTATGTGATATTGCCACCATAAAAGACAGTGTGGTGCAATGAAAGTAATTACATTACTGCTTTGCTTGGCTCTTAGTTAAGGTGCTAAGTTTCCTATTTATGAAGAAAAACAAATTCAGTGGCCTGTAGTTGTAATACAGAAAGTCCTCTAGGACAGAAGAATACTTTTTTAAACCATGTGATTGATTAGATATTGAATACCCATGAATGTAATTTTAAAAGGCTATTAGCTTAAACCATTGTCTGAAGAAAAGGATGCAGCTTGGAATGAATATCAGGATTTTAAACATGATGTGAAAAATCAGTTTGAGTGAATGCCACTGGCCAGGACAGTGGGGTACTGCCACCTCTGAATGTGAGTTCAGGTGTCAATTCAGTTGACGCCTTCTAAAGAAAAACCTTCAATAACTCAAGATATAACTAATCAACAACCTCAACCCCATACCTTTTCATGCCTACATGCTTCTCATGTATTCAGCAGAGTGCTTGGGAAAAGAAATCTATTTTATGGGAATCGGGGAAAAAACTTGCTGGAATATTTCCCCTTTAACCAAGCGAACAGGAAAGTTGTTCCGGCACTTCAGGAGGCCGAGGCCCAGCCCGTTCCCCACCTCACATAGCTCCATTCAGCCCAAATGTAGAATCTCGTTACAAGAACAGGCAGCAAGCCCAGCTGAGGTCTGGTTAGCCAAAGAGCCCCTGGGCTACCAGCCATGTGGCATTAGCAGAGGACTGCAAGATGCTGCAAAACAGGGGAGCTCTGGTACCTGTTAGGATGCGCCTAGAGCCACTGGCTCCTGCACCTAAAAGGCCCCATCCCAAGAAAGCTGACAGCAAGTGCCGAAATCTGCATTTGGAGCTCAGGAAGAACAAGCTGTGATGACTGAATCTGTCTGAGGCTGTTGGCCTGCAGGCAGGTTTTTTGCGAGAATCGGTTGTAAATAGAAGAGGACAACCAATATATTGCACTGCAGTTCATGCATTTTATCGCCTTTGTTTGTTTTCCTGTGGACAGTATTTATGATGTAGTAAAACACAAATATGAGCAAATACTGATTTGTGGTCGTCTTTTGAAGGGCACATGGGGAAAATGAGCTCTGCCAAGCACTCAGTAAGGAAGTACATTGTTTGGGCCAAGGAAAAGACACCTAACTGCCCTGGAGACGGAGCTTCTAACTTTTATGAAAAGGATGTGTCATGTGATAGGAGAGAGATTGGATTTTGTATCTCAGGAAATCTCTTCCAGCCTCTGTGAGACTAAATTCATTTGAATTGAATTTTCTGACACTGATATAATACTGTACACCTCTTTCATGTTCTGCAATACTTAAACCCAATTTGATCAGTCTAAATGTGCAAGTACCGCTGCTAGTTCCTGTTATCCCCCCGGAAAAAACGTGTTTTCACGCTTGATACCAATTCTGAGCGCAGTTCACAGGGTTGCAACTGCTGAACAGTGGTCCACAGCTGGAGACCTGACCAAACACTCGCGAAGCCTTCATTGCTACGTCACAGAATTCAGTTACTTATTTGTACAATCTGCGATGAGATCAGATTGCAGGGGCTTGCATGAAAAGGATCTTCAAATAAAAGATTTAAAAGATGTAGACAGAGGTGAACAGTATGCCAATATATATTAGCAGGTTATGACTGAAACTGCCAAAAAATGTAAGGAGATTATTAACATTTCCCGCCAAGGGTTTAACGTGCACGAAGGTAGAGATGATCCAAAGAGGAAATCTGCCTGCCCTGTCTGCTCCCCAAGTAAAGCACTGAGCCTACCTCATACAGAATTGCAAACAAATTCTGTTAAATACAGAGAGGGAGAGTATTTAACCTTATTTTAGTAACAGTCAATTTATGATGGTGGAGCTTAAGAAGCAAAAGGCCTTCAAAGACATGTGTCACCCTACTAAATAAACAACTTAAAGAACTTTGCATTGAGCAACAGATAGCATTCTAGAGATATGGTATGTGAATTTACAACAGTACACAATACACATTTATATAATAAAATGCCAGAAATTAAGGCTAGCTATTAAAGTAATTATGCTATCAAAAAGTTACAAAATTTAAATTAAAACATGCATTTTTGCAATTTTTTTACTGTGCTGTAAATTTTAAGTATCTTCATTGAGAAGGTATCGGTTCAACGTCCAAGGATTTCAGCATCCAAGATCTCAACCGCATCTGATTAAAGTCCTATGTTAATTTTTGAGTTCATTCACATGCATCAACAATGTTCCCATGAAATGAACATCATGTAATGGTCACCAGTCACGCATTTAATGCAAGCCAGCGAAATAAAACGTTTACAACTGATACCCAAAGAGACTAGAAAGTCAAGCCTCAAATGACAGAAAACAAATACTATTTTACAAATTGAACCCAAACATACCAAAGTACAGCTTATAATACTGTCCTGATATGACTCAAACTCTAACCACTGAAAAGAGCGCAGTAGAAGTGACCTAATACCATTGCATTTCCCTACCAGCTATATGAGAAACATTTCAGATTTTTTTCCACTGCAGATCAGTCAGGTAAATAACTTATTTTACATCTATGAACTTGAAAAATAAAAACTGCTTATGTTAGTATGTGGCAACACAAAAGCAAAAAACCCAGCTCCATAACATAGTTTGTCTATATATTTAACTTAAATCTTTCTATAAAATAAAATGACTAAAATAAAAAAAAAATCAAATCTAACACTTCTAATCAAATCAGACTTTAGCCATGGTTATTTATAAATATGATCATCTACCTCCACTTTTCCGATGGAGTTTAAATGAACAGGCTTTGGTAAGAACAGAAAAATGGCTCTACCCCATTCCAGGTACAGTTAGAGAAACCACGTGCCCTTCGCCCACCGCTTTCTAAAAAATACATTCTACAGTTTTTCAATATGTAGAACTAACGACCTGTAATACCTAAGGAAAATAACAAAATGTGCATTTTAAAGTTAGCATTTTTTTCACCTTTACATATTTTAGTGCAAAATATTTTAGGGTGAGGATTTACAACAACAATGGCAGTAGCAGCAAGAAATCTTCTGTTTTGTACAGTAACAACAATGCTAAGGAGTTTTGTTTTTTTAAATGACAGAACAGTATCCTGTTGCCAGGCTTAGCATATCTAAGTGTTTCAGGCACTGTATTAATTAAACTAGCACCCCATTTCATTATGGAACTAATGGACAAAATACGTAATGGAGATCAGCTCAGTTTAATTTATGCCAGAGGTTTCTTTTTAAAGAAGTTGCAAAGGTTTTTGCTTTTACCAATCATGTTTAAAACAGAAGGGGTTAATTTTTCTGATTATTGGTATGTTCGCAGTAATTAGTTTCAGTCCTTGCTATGAAGACACTGCTCAACGTTTTAACATTCTAAACCCCTCATGGCAGTTTCAGTTGTGGAATTCAGTTGTGGAGAAATCAGACACTTAAAAACACAGTAGCAGAACTAATATTATACCGTTTAAATGTTCACATGAGAAACCATTTTTTTGTGATCAGAAAGAGTACAATTAATAGTTTAGGCTTAAAGTGAAAATCATAGATAACGTAGTTTTTGAGACTGAGATAAAAACCCCAGTTATTCTTGAAACATCTGAAGGACATAACATTACCATTATACACCAACACCCTTGTTCTTTTCTTCCATTCCAAGCAGTAAAGAAACTGATCACGACAATGATTGTCTTCCCTGACAATAAAACGTGCTAGGTCCTCTGATGTACACTGCCAATTAAGTCAGGTTAGACGATGAGGATGGAGAATTCAAAATATGAAGAAACCTACAAGAGTTCCCGGAGTTAGGACCCAGTGGAGTGAAGGCTGGGGATTGGATAGAATTTGGAAATCCGGCTTTGTGTTGAAGGGTTAAGGCATTCGGATTCTCCAGTCATTTTAAAGAAAACTTCCTGCTCCTGCAGTTTTCTGGCAAATTCTTCTTCCAGCGTCTAAAACCCAAATCAGATTGTCACAGGATCACAAGGCAAAGTACAAGAAACCTATTATATTGGTGACATCTTGTCTGATATAACGTTGTAACTTCAAACATCATCACATAAAAAATTACCTAGCAATTCTGAAACTGCAAGACAACCAAGACATTGCAAGCTAAGAACATCTGCCTGTAGGATACTCTTGGAACTGTGTGAAAATCTAGTACTTTCCTTTTTCAAATAAAATACAAAAAACAGCCTCCGCCACCCTCTATCTGTTATTTAGCACTCAATTTTTGTAGTAACCTACCAGCTTCTGAAATATATTCCTAAAACTAGATTTACCTCCAGCTGAGAAATTTTATATGCAAATACGCACGCAAGCCCTGCAAGAGGGAACACCGAAAGAAGCTGATAACACACCAGCCTTTTTTGGTGCACACGCCCTTGGCTCAGCTTTTGCGCATTTTGTAACGTCTTTTATTATGCAGTCAGCTATAGCAGTTTTGTACTTTTGTACTTATTCCCCTCCTCTGCAATACTTTTTGTATTGTCTGTATTTGCCAGATCCAACTCCTGATTATTTACAGTTTCATAAGCTGCTCCGATTTACCTTTTTTCTTGGTCTCAATTTCTCTCTCCATTCCTTCAGTTCTTGGCTGTGCTCTTCATCTAACTCTTTCAGCTTCTGAGTCTCATGCTCAACCAGTAGATGGCATTTTTCGTTCTTAAAACAAGATGAAGATAATCCTCATGTAGAACTAATTCAGATTAGGCAACTCAACATTTGTACAGTGACATACGTTGTCCTAATTCTTTTTAATTAGCTTATTCCGTGTAAATAGTGACGTGAATAATTACAAGATAAAAGTATGTTACAAAGCTGCATTATCAAAAGCTGATCTATCCATCAGAACCAAATGAGATAAGAAATACTTGTAAATCCAAATAAACTGTTGATATCATTAAGACAGCAGCTGACAGCGTTACTCAAAACCCTGTTTCACTGCCTAATAATGCTATTCAAGGTCACACAGCATTTCTACTTTGCTTTCTAAAGACAGTTTGTATGATTTATTAAAATCAATTGCATTAAAAAGGTTCTTTTTTGAAAATATTTCAACTCTTGGTGCCAAGGAGCTGAGACTAACAAACGGGGCTTAGAAAGGAGAGGAATGCACTTGCAGAAGCAGCCTCAGAATTGCCCTTTAAAAAGGAAAAGGATAATCAAACCACTCATCAGTTTCACATCCCTCAGTAAGGTACACACACATCTGCCTAGCTTTCAAAGGACTTTTGAAGCATGGCAAGAAAAAAAATTAAGTATTTGGCTACATCAAATGTTTGATTTTTAAGAGCAGTTGGCAATGGCAGTCTCTAAACCCCATGTTCTTGTTTCGAGGGTTCCGGTCCCAAGTGGGTCTGATTCAGAGTACAAAACCACAGGAACCAAACCGACACGCACCCGAGTGCAGCTAGGGGCCAATTTTTCTTGGTGAAGCTCAGAGTAGCCCTAATCTGCTCAATTTTATTTGAGCTGAAGCTCTCACAAGACTCCCACGGTACTTGGGGATTTACTGAGGCGTATTAGCGGCACAGTTAGGGACCGTTTTTGCAGGATGTAAGAAAGTGAATGGAGTAGAACTAGCTTCATTGGTCATTGGAAGATTTCTCTACACTAAGGCTATCAGCAGGTGACCATGTAATGCTTTATGTCCCTGAAATAAGGAAATGCAGATTTAGTGGAAAAGGAGATCTGGCCTCTGGTATACAGCAGGAACTTTCACGAAACGCATACCAAAAGGGACAAAATAGAGGTCCTTATCGCAAGAAGAGAATTCCTTCTAAGTACGTTCCAGAAGCTCAAGTACACATGGCAGCCTGTGCTTTGTAAAAACCAACTCATCCTATGTATTGCTGCAAATGCCTTGTGGGTAATGCCTGGTGCTGCCTACCTCTGCGCTGATTAATGACATTTCAGCAAAATCAGGTTAAAAGGAAATGTTGCCTACAGAAAATAGCACTGGAAACTCAATAGATATTCTAGAAGTGAGCATCTGCTTCTGGTTCATGCTCTTCTTGCATGTAAAATGATTTCTCATTAATTGATGTAAGCATATGAATCTGGTTAAGCAGTACACTGCAGGCCTTTGAAAGCAAAGTTGGAAAAAAATCGACACCAATCAATAAAAATGAAGGAAAAGATGTTTCTGCTTTGCCTGCATCTGTTATTGACCTGAGTCTTCCCACTGAATGTTCGTTTTATGTCATCTATTTTTAACCTGTAACTGATGCAGTTCTCTGATGTTTGCTTCACACTGCAACTGAAGGTCCCGCATTTGGTTTTCGTGTTTTTGATGCTGAGCCAGTCTCTCATTCTTCTGTCTCTTTTCTTCTTGAACAGCAAACTAAAATGAAAAAATAAAAATATGGCTTATATTGTGCCTCTACATGCAACAGTTAAAGAACTGTATATAACAGAATGAAGACATAACAGCATAACTGAAACGAATGGTTTTATAGGGTTTAAAGTGTAACTGTATTTTCTTTTTTCTTTTTAAAAATTCTTACAAAGGGAATGCCCTCACAGTTTTGTCTGTTATTCCACTTCTCTCTCTGCACTCTCATTTCTGCTTAAGACACAACACATTTCACTTTCAGACTCCTGAAATTATCTCCCTCTAAGCCAAGTGACACAGTAGCACTCCACGTGTGTCTGACCAGCACAAAGGGGAAGGATGACTTCCTCTGACCTCATCCAGTGCATCAACCGTGTTTTGAACCATCTGTGACCTTCCTGAGAGTGCACTCTATTCCATCCTCATGTTTACATCACATTAAGCATTTACACTATTAAAACTGGTTTTATTAATTACCTGCTTAATTTTTTCACGGTCTTGGTCTGGAGAGGCTAATGAATTGATTCTTAAGCTTTTCTTAAACATAGCCATTCGAGTCTTTGCTTCACTTCGCTGGATTTTAGGCAGTCTTGCTCTTTCCTGAGTTTGCTTGTTCTTTAACTCCTCGATAAGGCGTTGATTATACCTCTGCATTTGTTCTGTTTCCTAAAATGTTAACGATATGGAAATGTTACAGCATAACTATTATGTTAGAATACTTGCACCTCATTTCCTCAATAAGCATGATGTTTGAGTTGGCGTCTTTCAGTGGAAACCAGCCCCAGCTGTGGTGACACCAATGGGGAGAAGGGGGTCTTCCACTTATTCCAGAGAGCTCTGGATCATGCCCAACCCAGATGAAATTCTCTAATGACTATGAACACACATCTATTTTACCAGTGGTCGTTCAACTCCTGAACTGCATTTTAAAAAGTCTACGTTATTCAAAGGGAGAAATTTGCAGAACTGAACTCCCTCTACTGCAGTTGTGAAGGGTCAGTTTGTTGCAAAAGCTGGTGAAAACAACAGCCATTACGGGGACAAACCAAACTGTACAGAAACAAGCCTCGGTGGAGGCTGCTCAGGCTCCAATCACCAAGGAGATCCTAGAATATCTCCCTATGGGGTTTACATTTGCAAAAACTGAACTATTCTGTTTAGTGTATTCTATAGAAACCAAAATGCCTTGTGGAAAGTAAGTGTTGTCTTCTAAGCTTTTATAGGATTTAGCTATAAAGAGACAGTTGTCAGCTACTTGCCCAAAAGCTAATCCAGTTCATTCTGCTCATTTAATTCTAGGATGATTTATTAATGAGTAGATTTATTTAAACACAAGCCAAAACTGGGTTTGGTGTATAAGCAGAATTTAGTATTTTTAACAGAAAAGGGTTGATGATGTGGTTGGTTTAGTTTTGGGGTTTTTTTAAGAATCAAAAGGGAAAAAAATATACTTCAACATGTTACGAAGTTATTAAAGACAATTAAATTTTTTTTTCTTTCAACAGAACATACACAGCTTCAAAATACCTGTGTGGGTCTTGCCAGTGCAAGCAAACAGCTACCAGTAGAGATCATAAGACTACTCGGTAACACCCCCTCGCATATTATAATACACAAAAGAAAGTGTCAAAGTCAACACTAACCTTTTCATGTCTCTTAAGCAGCTGGTGTCTCTGCATGAAGTACTGATCTTTGAGCTGCTGTTTGAGGAGCTGGTGCTTCTCTTGTAGATGTCGCTCTTCCAGCTCCCAGATTGCAGCTTCGCGAGCTGGAAAAAGGAGGAAGGCTGGCTCAGAAAGTACAATACTTTCTAATCTACCTGCTAGTGGATGTTTAGAAGAGGCTCACGAGTGCGTTGTAAGAACATGCTATTCCATAGAAACATTTTTATTATGGTTCTAGTTTAGTCACGAAGGTCTTTGATTTCATAAATTTAAGACAGACTATTGTTTTATTAAAATACAACACAAATGTCTGTTTTTAAAGAGAGAGTCTGATGCTGGATACCTCTCATGAGCTGCTGTTTGTTGTTGAGACAATCTCGTTCAATAGTGGCTAGTTCTGTCTTCTGCTGCTGAATAATTTTCTTCAGAGATGCATCCAGTTCTTGTTGCTGCTTCTGCACAAATTCCTGCTCCTGGTAAAAACCAACAGAAGTAAATTAAATTGTGTTCTTATAATCACATTACATTTTAATGAAACTCCCAGTGTTCTCAGCATTAGCTATATATGAAAACAAATACATCTATGAAAATTTGAGCTAACATGCCTCAGCTATAAAATTATAAATCTCTTGTATTTTCTACGAAGACAGTAGGTAAGAGTATATTTATTGTTTAAATAATACCTTCAGAAATAAGACCAAAGGCAACAAACTAGCCAGCAATCTGCAATTCATTCCATCTCTTGTCTCTCCTCAAAACATTCTGCAGGTCCAAAGCTACCACAGACAAGTACTCAATATAAAGTTGATCTCATCATATCAAAGGTTAATTATTCATGGATGTAAGAAAATAGAAGTATGTACGGTTGTTTTGTTCTGGACGATTAGTTAAAGCCTATTTATTTACATGGTTGAGTTTCAGATTTGTGTCTCAATGTTGAGTGGTTTATCTTGCAATGAACACAAAGATACTGAAGTTGGGAGTCCTGCAAGACTGCTATGAAGACACTTGACTTGGGCAGGAACTGTATTCTGCAGGACTTGGAAGTTTGTCACACCAGAGCTGAGCTGGCTCCTCGCAAAGTGATTTGCCATCTGCCTGATGCAATCCCCACATCATCTGCATCTTTCCTTTTCCAGGGTGTATCACATCATGAAAAGCAGGGAGTAGCAAGAACCCCCTCCCATGCCCCAAGACCATACTGTTGCCTTTCTTCTTTGCAACTATCAAAAAATAATAATAAAAAAAAGCATCTACAAGCATGCAAGCATGCACACAACACACTCTAAGAACAAGAAATTAGAGCAGATGTTTCTACCATGATGTAAAGGTCAACAGAAAGGATGTTGGCAGTGTCCTGTCAGAGCCAAGGTGGGCTGCTGAAGCACTTGGTGTTATACATAACAGAGCAACGTTAAAGATGGTCTATTGGAAGGGAGATGGGATGAGGCAGGAAAACAGTTCTGGGCTACAGATGATCAGTGGAAGGGTCTCCTGAGCTATGGTTTGGTTTTGGTTTTTTTTACTGAACCTACACTACTTGCCAAGAGAGTTGTCAGCAACATATGGAATTAAATGTCCATTAAAAATACTTTTTATCATGACCAGGAGAATCCTGGTTTCCATCTTCACTGGCAGTTATTAATAGATGAGGCTTTCATCTCTCCCAGCGGACAGCAGTTACACTTAGGTAACAGAAAACCAGAGGTGGACTAAGTTGGTGAAAAGCTCTGACAGCAGCATACCTGAGGGTACAAAAAGAACTGGAAGGCCACATCTGTAAATTAAGTCAGACATACCTAATCGAATATATAGACTCATGAAAAATACCGTTCTGTTCCCTTTCTAGATGAAAAGGGTAAGAAAACTAAGTTTTTATTCTGAGGGTGCAGGCATATAATTAACATTGTGTTTAATTTGCCACGATTTTTTTTATTTGTAGGGAGCAGGCAGAAAGCTATTCTAGTGTAATCATGGTCAAAAAGCAATTACGCTTGAGCTTTACTCAATCGTTCTAGTATCATTGCTGCTCTCACTACATGGTAAATCTTAAGAAGTTTCGCAATTGCTAGCACTATGAGATAAACTAGGCAATCTCAGAAAACACTCTGGCCTTTCTGCTTCCCACAGATGTGGGATACTCAAGTATCACATATAATAAAGGTCACGAACTTTACTTAAGAACATGCTGGATGTTGAAAAAGGCAGACAGTGCAAGACAGCCCACCTTTTTCAAATTACCACTTGGTTTTGCCCAGTAAGGGGCAAACAAACTCAGACACCTTTAAAATGCATGGTTTCACTGCACACACTCCACAGAAGTCACGCATTGTTTCTCACATGTGCTGAACAAATAAGAAACACCAGAGACCAGTATTATATTCCAGTTGTGTGAAACTTTAATGTCTTGCCCAGAGCTAACAACTACTCTAATTTTGACCTTTTTACTATGAATAGGGCATAATTACATAAATTTGTGCTAACTAGTTTGGAGACAGCAGTGACATTGATCAGCACATATGAGGAGAAGAGAAAACACACATCTGGAAAATTAGGGAAATAAAACTTTTGTTGCTTTGCATTTTAAGACTTACATCCTGCATTTGTGCGTTGAAAAGTGTACATGAAGACAACTGAAAAGACTGAATCATAACCTGAGCAACCCCCTGTGGGACACAATGTACTTCCTATGTCAGAATATAATGAAATACATTTCTGTTCTTAAAAAAAAAAGAAGAAATTAAATCTGCTGTATGTTAGTAATATACATTTAAAATGTCAAGGCTAATCACACAAAAGTAGTCACTGTCAGAAGTTCTAGATATTCTAAAACTAAGCATCTGCACCTTGTCTAGTACTTATCATTCCAAGTAAGGATATTTCACCTTTAAAATTGTCTCTTTCACCTCTCTTCAAGAAATTGAAACCAGCAAAGGAAACAAACTAAGTTACTACAAACACTATGAAAATTTAGGGTTTTAATTGTTTCCTTAAAAAGTTCAGAGACACATATCCTTGCTATGGGGAGAGTGCTGCAACTCAATCACATTCTGTGCTGGGAAATCCCCTCTTGAATTAAACACGTTATCAAATAGAGTTGCTATTATTTTCTACTAGGTCACTCACATAAACATTTAATCTTTAAGTTACTCAATCCAAACCTGCTCTGTGGTGGTGCAAACTCACTCTGTACAAGCTGTGGCTATCACAAAGCCAATATTTTTCTAAAATACTCTTTCTAGCTGGGTCATATAAAAGCAGCAAGTCTGAAGGCGTGAAATTATAGATGATGTCTTGTAAAGTTTCCATACACCTACACTTTGACATTTAAATAACTTCACTTCATCTAATCTGTACTGCTCCTATCAACAAGATGCCTCACGCTTACACATTATATACATTTTTCTCCCCTGCACTTACGTTGCTCAAAACTTACTTCTGACTGTAACCTTTTAATTTGATGGACCTATGGGGTACTTACCACTCCAAAATGCCCTGTAAAGAAACTTGCTGTAGAAAAACACCATTCTTTTGTGGTACAGCATACAAAATATTACACTTAACAGCACAAACCTGGAAATTGCTGCTCCTACATTTCTACACAGTATACTCTATGGGGTGTGACATGGGAGTACTTGAAGAAAGAGAGCAGTACGTAGGGTTAGTTTGAGTTAAGTTCCATATTCACTCAACAACAAGTGAAATCATCAAGCTGTGTGAATAGTGCTGCCTTTTGTATTTTAGTAGCTTCAAGCTGCCGTTGTTACCTGAGCATGCTGGCTTTGTGCAAGCTCCTCTTTCTTGCGTTTCATGAGCTCTTTTCTCAGCTCTTTTGGTGCTTTCTCCACTTCACATAAAACCTACAGTGTATATAAGCATGCAGAAGGTGGCAAAAAGAACACTTTTTCTCCACAGCAAGCATTACTGTGAACACAGGACATGCAGGTCAAGCACTAGAGGTACCGGGAAGCGTGCATTACTTCAGTGGCAGGGATGTTAGTTTAGTGAAAAGAGCTTAATGAAAAGAGGAGGAACAATACGTGCTTTATGTGTGCCAGCGCAGCGCAGAAAGGTGGTATATTGCATGCAAATGCTGCCAGTGCTCTCAGAAATGACTGTCTCTTGCTTGTGTTTTCATGCAGCAGCTAGAATAGTCAATACTTAAGAAAACCACCACCTGCAAAAGTGGTATTTTCTTGAAGCACTGTGGCAAGAGGACTATGGAGTATGTTCACCTCATGATAAAGCTGTGAAAAATGGTTGGAAGCTTAAAATAACTTCCACTGAAAACCAGTTATTTCTGACACTGTCTCAAACATGGATTTATAAGATGCCATTATTAGTGTCTCCAATCATAAATGACATCTACTCGGGATGTCTTTAAAATAGTCAGACAAGCAACTAAAACATTAATTGGTTGTGTTTGGTTCTGAAGAATTTAAAAGCAAAACCCACCAATAACTAAGTATGTTTTCAAGAAACTTTTCATGACACGTATGCTGGAATGGAACGTGTTTCAGTCCAAGGTGAATTAGACTAGATTAGTAGAAAGATTCTATATATAACCTGGCTAAATCAACCGACTATTAATCTGTGAATTTGCTGATGTGTTTTATTTATTTTTAAGAATTATAAAAATGTAGCATTGCACACTCCAATATAGGAGTAGTTTTAGAGCACCAGCTGCATTTCCTTCAAACTGTAAATTGCCTTCTTAAGCTTTAAATACAAAACTACGCGCCCAAAAACAAATGCCTGTTTGTTTAATAGTGGAAGCACCATCAGAAAACAGAGTCCAAATCACCACATGCTATTCCTGTTTCCATGAAAGAACGGCTTTTAGCTCAGAGCAGTATGTAAAATTCTTCCCGCTTTTCCATGTAGGACCCAATCACCAGTAAATAGAGAGAGACTCAAAAATGCAAGAGGCACCGCAAAAGAAGAAAAATTGTTATTTACATATGAGCATATGGTTTGAACTGAATACAACTTCTATTTTTTATGCACTTTTGTACTACAGGATCATTCTATGCAAAAGCATGGACAGTACAGATTTCTAGAGAAATCTCTGTGAGTCTAGTAACTATTAGACCAAACACTAGAGCCATTTATATACAAACGAGCACTACACAATTGATCTGAAAATGAAATAAAACAGCTTTTAAGATGCAAAATCCACATGGAAACACATCACTTTCTCTTACTCTCACGCAAGCAAGTTAATAGCATAAAGTGTCAGTGTCAAATGCCACTTGTTTTGCCTTAACTGTATAACACATATGAAATTAACTGTGAAAGATTGCAGGTTACTGAGACTTTTCTCTTTCCTTTTTGAGTTAAAAAACTAAATCCATGTAACTGCTGTCACTTCATATAAAGGAATTCTGAACAACAGCACACATTCAACAAAAATCTGCCAAATTAACAACAAAAAAATTCTTTGGAATTTAAGTGATTCTTAGCAGTAATCAAGACCAGATTCTTTTCTTTGAAATTCTAACTTGATAAGTATTTACTAAGTTGCTATAGCTGGATTTGTTTAAAGTAGTAATTTCAAATATTTTTCACAATCTTTAACAAAATACTTTTTTTTTTTTTTAATTTAATATTTGAGAAAAAAATATTTTGTTAAAGATTCTGTGAAAAATAAAGTCTTCTAATTTGGTGATGTTTGCTGGATTAAGTCAATACCTAAATCTTCCTGTTAGCTGTTTGTATTTCACGTTAGGTAGTAAAACAAACTAAATAATACTGACTGCTAGTAACCCTTCCACAACTCAGTATAACATGAGGTTGACAAGACTTCTGGGAGACCTAATCTCAACTGTTTGCTATGCTCATACTCCTTATTTTCTATATTAACATCATTGTCTCTTACCTCCTTTTTTTTGTTCTTCAGCATGTTCTGGAATTTAGACAATTCCTTCTCCTGTTCTGCTTTGATGCGTTTTGCTTCGTCTCTTAAACGATTTGTGTGTTCCTGTTCCAAGCGCTCTATTGTCTGTTTCTGCTGTTTTTCTAGATTTTCTATTTCTTGATCATACTGTCGCTTTTTACCCTGTAAAAATAATTTTGCATCTTCTTTTAGAAAACTAAATTCTGTTCAGTGAAGTGCTGTACCACAGCAGAGGATGGCCATGATGAACTGTTCTGGCAGGAGAGTTTTAGCATACAAGCTGGGCACCCCACAATGGAAAATATTGCCATTTATTAACAAGAATGAAAACTAAGCCATCAAAAAAGGAAACACCTCATTGCTGCTAGTAGTATTCTGCCTACTCCATCAAGATGCCATATTTTAAGAGCAGCAAAATCCAGAAACTCACTGTCATTTCCTGTTCAAAACGTCTGTACATCTGTTCTCGCTGTTGCAAAAGCTTATTGCTGAGTTGCTGTTGGGCTCTCTGCTCTTCTTTCTGAAGAAGCCTTAGCTCTCTTAGCTCTTGACGTCTAACAATGAAAAAGAACGCTTAATGCTGATGGGAAAAGAAAAGAACTGGAATATTACAAAAGATGAAAAAAGCATCTACAACTTGGGTCGAGTAAAACTAGTTTTGAATTGATCGTCTTATTAAGAAACACTTTGCATTCCTTTCTACTAACAAAATAATTGAAATTAATCCCCAAATATTACAGAAATAAGATTATTTGTCCCCTCCTTTTATTCAAAGAGAAAAAAAATTAGCTGCTAACCTCTTGTAAATTTTACTTTTAAAAACACTTACCGTAGAAATCGCATTTCTTCACTTTTTGAGTCATTTTCAGTAACTATTTTTGATGTAGTTACACTCACTTCTACTCCATCAACAACAAACTTCCGAGTTTTCTTTAAAGTTTTCTTCTGTCTTCTAGTTTCCTGAAAAAAGCATTGGTAAGTTAATCTGTATTTAAGTTTTATCCATTTTTCTCTTTTTTCTTAATACTAAATTTCTTCAAACATTCCTGTGAAGGCCTACTGTAGAGTAATCAGGAGTTGTTCTCACTTATCAGGTACCTTACTAATCAAGTGAGAACTTGAAAAATTCTAATGTACTGAAACTTTCTCTAGTCAAAAGGAAAACTCTAATTATTGATCATGTAAATTGCCAGAAGAAAAAAAACAAACACCAACCCTAAATAAACTCCGAACCGAATTGATTCAGTTTTATTTTCAAGAACTGAAGATAGTTGCAATTTCTGTTTGCTTTTGACCGTAATTTTCCCAGTCACCAAAAAAAGGTATTTAATTCTGAAAACCAATACTGAAACAGAATAGCAATTTACTCACCTACTTCCTTCTGCTTTGGAAATAAATTAAACAAGAAAGTTGTGGGTTTGGTTTTTTTTAATTCGTATATATTAGTCAAAAATCATGTGATGATCTTGCTGACAGAATTGGAGAAATCTCACTTCTCAGAGCTCTTATTGTTTCATTACGAGAGAAGAGGGACCCAAGCTGAAACCGCATCTCCGTTGTGTTAGGGCTACTGCAAACACCTTGAAGTCATGCAAAGCTATGCCAGTTATGATTCTTGTTTGGGTTTGGTTTTTTGTTTTGTTTTTTTTTTCTTTAAATCCATGGTTACATAGTTACTATCCTAGTATGGCCATAATCATATTAGTATAAAGATATAAATAAAGTTCATAATCTGGAATGTGCTTCCTCTGATTAAGCTCATTCATACTGGCATAATGGCATCGATATACTAGAGCTGTAGCAGAACAGTGTTCAGAATAAACAAACCTGAGAGACTGCCTGCCTTAGATCTTCTAAATCTAAACAGAGAGATGTGGAAGTGACAGGAATTCTTTATAAGATTAGATGTTATAAGAGATTTGTGCAGTCCAGGGCCCTGAGCTAGTCTTCTTAACTATCAGCTGTGAACTATAACCATTCACAAATCTTCACCTTTAATATTGTTAGCCTTCCTGTTATATGCAAGTCTACATTTTTAAAATACAATTATGCAACAAAATAAGAATATAATTAGCACCTCTGAAGTTTCTAGCTTTGCTGCATAACTGCACAAAATCCAGACTTTTAGAGCGTGCAATTTAGAATACTTCACTTTCTACACTGTTTTATACTCCACACTGTCATACTAGTTTCTCACTCAATTTTCTTTGTTGCAAGGGTCAAACTTGGAGATAACTTTAGGGTCACACTCAGATATGATTTTATATAAAAACATATGATTGTTTATACTTACCTGTAAAGATATTGATCCTGTCTCTTTGTTTTTACTAAGGAAACTAGAAATTGACAAGTTCAAATCAATGCTGCTATTATCAGCTGTAGAACCAGTGCCTGAATCTGCATCATTTTCCTTCAAATTCTCCGATTCTAGCTGCTGTAAAGTTTCAGTATTGTCTTGATTATCTGTTTTGACTTTCTCCTCATTTTCTTCAGTGCTAATACTAATACTGGGGACTGGAGTGACTTCAGAGTCATCAACTTGTTCATCAGCAGCATCTTGAAGCTTATTCTTCATTATTTCATCAGAAGTAACTTCTGAATGTTCTTTGTCTATCTGAATATTGTTTTCCTGGATATTCTCAGGTCTGCGCTTTTCTGAATTCTGGTCCATATAAGTCAGGTTATCCACCACCTTATTAGAAATATCTTCAGGCTTGCTCTGTATTGCTTTCTGGTCTACGTCTTTTCCAGAGTCTTTGATCTCCGTTTCCTCCATGCTGCTTCTATTACAAATATCCTCATTTTCACTTTCTGCCAGTTTCTTGTCTACTTTGATCGCTTTATCTTGGCTTTCTGATAGAGTTTCTTCAGAGCTGATTACCTCATGGACCTGCTTGGCCTGACTTTCCACTGGCTTATCCTCCGACTCAGGTATTTTATCCCCATCACTGATCTGTTTTTCAGCAATACCACCTATCTCCTTAATGTTGTCAATTCCATGCTTTATTAGTTCCTTTTCTTCATCAGCAACTTTATCTGCAGCATTAGTTAGAGCTTCTGTAGTGGTGTCTATTATCGCCTCTTTCTGACCTTCATCTTTATCTTTCTTTTGCTCTGTAGTATTTTCTGCAAGGACCTTTTCTTCCTTATCTTCTGAGAGATCTGTTCTGTTTTCCTTCTCTTCTTTTTCACCAGTTTCCTTAGAAATGGCTTCCTCGGTTTCTATACTATTTTCAGTTGTAGGTACTGTTTTCAGTTTATTATCTTCTGTCTGTTCATCGTCCATGTCATTTTCTTTCTCTGTTTTTAGGTTGGGTTCATCCTTTATTTCTGATTTTGTTACAGCATCAAGTTCTTTCCCTCCTTTCTGAGGTTCCATATCTTCACGTGCTTTTTCTAGTCTTTCTCTAGTCTTTTCAGCTGACAATATTTTGCCTTGCTCGTCTTCACCAGTTGGCACAGAACCATTCTGCACTTTCATATCGCCAACAGTAGTATCGCATATGTTATCAGCTGTTTTTCTAAATTTAATGACCTCAGATTCGTCTCCAGTTGTTTTGTCATCTGGAAATACAGTGCTGGTTTTGTCCTCAATTGCATTACTTGCTGTTTTCTCAGAAAGAGATTCCAGAACAGAGGCATTCTGCGAAAGTTTATCCTCTTCAGAGCTGGCAATACTAAGGTCAGAGGATGCACGCTTGTCTGCGGGTAACTGCTAAAAAATTAAAGCAAGAAAAATATTTAATCGTTTTCTAACTGAATTAAAGCACAGTTCTGTTGAAGAATACCTGAACAGAGATGAATATTGCATTTACAAGCAGTTACATGAATGTTATAATCCCAGAGTACTTCACTAGGTATTACCACAGAACGAGTGCATGGACTGCAGACAAGCTCTGAACGGAACTTCCACAAGAACCCTCTTCCATCTCTCATAATTTAATAAAATATGCTGTGATTGAAGGAAAGGGATCATAGTCAGCCCTCTGCCTCGTGCTTAAGAGAATTTTCGAGAGTCTTTTTCCAATCATGTTCCTTTTTTTTTTTTTTTAATTCAGTTCCCCAATATTCCCATCTACAGTTGGATTTGAAAGACACATATCTCTGTGCCAGTTTGGCAAGGAAGGAGCTGTGTAGCTTTATTTGGTGTGGCACTGATAAAATTGCAATATTAAGACCTTCTTTTGTTTCACCAAAATATCTTTCCTTGTGTTCTTTGTTAAAAATCCTGAAAAAAAAAATTGGTCTGTTTTTTAATCACTGTGAAACCCCATTAAAATGGTGAAAACCTCCAGCAGACATGAATAGGTGGCAATATGGAACTAGAATAGAAACAGTTACATAACTGTAGAAATTGCTGCTGCTGGAATATGAATGAATGTTATCAGATTACATACAGACATACAAAAGAATATACTAATAAAGTATCATTTTAACCATAATTGCTCTTTCACTCTTCAAAGTGATTGCAATATCTCTGTCTATATTTACTGTTAGAACCCTGTAATTTGCAGATCAGGCTTCTGATTTGCCATTGGGAACATACCAGGTTAGCTATTGTAACAAGCATGGTTTGATCGCACATTTCCTACCTTAAGGTTTTCCTAAGCATACAGAAAACAATTCCTTTTAAATCAAAAGTGCATTTAAAAGATTTCTTCACGTAACTGTTCTAGAAGCTTAGTGTTGATCTCCAAGCAGCTTTTAACACTACCACAAGTAAATAATGTAAATGCATCTACCTCACAGTTTCCCAACCTGATGCTTGTGTCGAGATACTTAATTGAGTCATAGGGTAGACTTCACTCCAACCCTCCTGATGGCTTAGCAGCTAATCAGCAGAGGGAGGTGGTGGGTGATGCCTTAGGAGATAGACAGTAAATCCTGGAGGTACTTGGTGAGAATGCACATTGGAGATCTGCTGGGGTGGACACGGAAAGTCATATGAAAGGCAGGGGACGCAACTGGCTTGGTGAGGGGCGAGGAGGGAACGGAGGCGTGCTTCTTGTGCACGTGCATTTGGCTTTGGTACCATTGCTGACAATGGCAGCTACTGGTGGACTGGTGGTGCTGGTCACTGTCCCTGTTCATAGTGCTTGAGCCAGTTAAGTCAGAGAGCACTCTACCTGTATACTCTGCAATTTGCTACCATATCATTGAACTTCATGGCTTTGCCCTTCGAGGAACTGAATTTGTGTTGTGACATTCTGAAGCATCTTTAGAAATACACTCATAAATGCGACCTTGTCGTGGTAAAACACAGGGTTTTTTGCTTTTGGTTTTTTTTCCTCTTTGACAGACACACTGTAAAATCACAAACGGAGTTTATAGTATAATGGTCACATACCTTCCCTTAATGTTTTAAGCATCTTATGGAATACAAATACAGTTACTTGTTCATCTAGTCATTTTGACTTAAAACTATTTACACAAAAATCAGTATCTGATTTTTAAAATTCTACACTACATATACATGTAAAAATACATGAAGATAATATTATTTATTATTAGTTCTCAAGGAGTTTAAGAACATATTAATTTTGAAAATGCTGACTACTTATTTTGTAACACAGTTACAGTATGTTTATGCCATTATTCTTAGAAGACTTGCTGCAAAAGTTGAGCAGTACATCAGAAATGGAGTTCTCCATAGGAAACTGGTGATTGAAACTAGCTGCATATTAAAAAAATAAGTTTTAAACTGACCAGAGAATTTTCTGTTTCTTCTTCTTCATCCTCATCTTTACCATCTTCAACTTCTTCTGTAACTTCAGCCTTAGCTTCTGCAATCAATTCTCTTATTGGTTTATTGGAAGTAACAGTAACAAACGGGTGCTTGTGAAAATAAAAAAAAAGCACAATATTAAGTGCTGACTTCATTGTACACAGTAGGAAAATCATAACTTGAAAGAAATATAACTTCAGAGAAACATTACTTTGGTTCTCTCAAACCTGAAGATTCACAGTTAACATTAATCACAACTGTCTTAATATACTTTTTTCTGTAAAGCTTTAAAATCAAAGCATTTGTATTCAAATATACTGTGTAAGTAGTCTAACAAACTTGCTAAAAATAAAAATAATTCATTTATACTGACCTGTTTCAAAATCCAAAGAATAAAAGTAGAAAGGTTTTTTAAAAGGTTATTTTTCCTGGAAACGGGTTTCATTTCTTGTCAGCTCCACAGTTAAATAATTTTCTGATAAGCTTTATCTAGAAATATTCTTTCTAGAAAAAGTCTGCTTTGTCTTTAGAACAATTTTTCCTAATAAGAACATAGAATTCTACATTTTTCTTTAAGAAGAAACAGCTACCTGTTCTTCTCCTACTGTCTGAATCTTCTTTCTCTGCTTGGCCCTGCTGCTTAAATCTATTCAACGTATGCCGGATGTATTCTGGATAAAGTAAATGCGCGCTGACGTGAAACAGAATCAAATGTACCTAGTCACATCTACTCTTGTTTAGGTATTCTGCAGTGACAGCATTACAGAGGAAGGCTGAGTACTAAAGCCTTTAAAACACCTGTCAGCAATAGACTACTTATGTAAATTTCTCCTTCATCCAATATAAGTATCAGGGTATAATTTAAATACTTATGCAAAGTAATTAGTTATATTACATCAAAATATGTAAACAAAGAATTTGATCTGCACTTGGTATCATTTAATTTTACCAAATAAGGACAAATGCAACAATGTTAAAAACAGACTGTGTACAACCACTTAATTTGAAATTATTTAAATAGTTACTATAATAGTGATCTGCTTTTAAAAAAATACAAAATATACCTACCTTTCAACAATAGTTCTGAACAATTAAGTCTTCCTACCTGTAGAAGTTGAGTTGCGCTCCACCTTGCATCTACATTCTTTTCCAAACATTTCTTCAGAAAATCTTTAAAATCTGATGACCTACACAAAAAGCAAACAGGTAGTGTTTTTTCTTTTGTCTTGACATCAGACTAGTGTATAGTGAAATATTCTTTTGCTTTCACATGCATCCACACTGCAACTCCAGGTCCTGCTATTGATTTAGAAAAACAGGAAGATGGTACGGGAATGCAAAATCCACTGTGCACAAATACAATCTTTAAAATGTTCCTCAATTTCTGGAAGAGTTTACTTTTGGCTCTGGATTTATAACACACCACATCTGCTATATCACTAACTGAATCACATAAAGATATTAAAATGACCAAATAGCTAAGAGCTTTTTAAAATGTTTTCTTAGTATAAAAAGACTTTAGTCTGCTTTCACTCAACGTTACTTTTTCAGATGGTCTTCAGATCTTTTACTGCATTTGCAAAAATCAATTTTGCATACATTTTAATGCAAAATATTTCAGTATAAAAGTTTCTATACAGAAATGACAAAAAAGCCATAGTCCCAATTGCATATGGATATACACTCACACATATATATACATGTACAAACATATACAGAATAGGTACCTGACTTTATGCGTAAAGCTAGTCCCATGAAGTTCAACATGAACGTAAGTTTAGTACATATATGACTTGGCAATCTATAAATTGGGTTGGGAAAGTTGTAAATAAAATACCAACCATTTTGAAGGCTGTGCTAATGTAGGCGGATCAGATTTTGCTATTTTCAGAAGCACTCGCATTGGATTTAATTCATGATGAGGTGGCTCTATTTGAGCCATTTCTATTAAAGTAATGCCAAGAGACCAAATATCAGCCTTGTAATCATAAGGTCTGTCTTTAGAGGTCTCGCACATTACTACTTCTGGAGCCATCCTGCAAAGAGAATAATGAAGTGTCAGATTAGAAAATGCGCTCTTATCTGTTCTGAAAAAGATTCTAAATTGATAAATTCACTAAAGCATTTTAAGAAGCACATTCTACTCTCACTTAATATATTTACACAATACTGTGTCAAGCTTGTAATATTAACTAACAACAAAGGTATTATTAAGATATTAGTTCATGCTAAAAAGTCAGGAAAACAGTGCACTTACCAATATGGTGTACCAATAAAAGAATCTCTTCTTTGTATTGTTCTTGTGTTTTTAGCCGATACTCCAAAATCCGCTTAAAGTAAACAGTAAAATGCTATTAACTGGATGGTGGAAAACATATTATATTTTTATATTTTACAACTGTCTTTTAAAATGTTGTATGTTCCAGATCAAACATTCTGTATTATTAAAACTTTGAAGTGAAATAAAAATATTTATGTTTTGATAACTGAATGCCAAGGGTCTATAGCATTTCTAATAAAAATAATGAAAAAACATTATTCTCCATTGCTAAAAAAAGTAATGGCAGTGTTGAGTGGGATAAAACTGATGCATGTATTTACTGCAGGAATAAGCAGGTTAAATTATTTTAATTAGAAAATAATTTCTTTAGCCTATGAAGGTTGTATTACTCAGACACGGCATATTAGCTCTTCATTAATTCAACAGCTCATTCAATTTTTATTTTCAGAAAGCTAGATTTTCCCTTTATATTACGCATTTCCACATGACTTTTCACTTTATATTAAATATCTAAAAGCTCACATATGCACCACTGATGTAACATTCAATCAAAAATCAACTTTATCTTTGCAATTAATACTGCTTGTCTATAAAGCACTACATTTCTCACTTAGGAAAAAAAGACAACATTTAAATAAGTGTTATATGCTTATTATAGATGTAACTTTCTTAATGAAGATCTAGATAGTAGAGCAAAGGGACAAAATAGTTTTATGTTGCCGTCTGTACAAAATTAATTGATGAGCTCAACACTCGAGAAGTCCAATTTTACTCGGGGGGGGGGGGGGGGGGGGGGGGAAAGGATTAAGAGAGCTACGTGTTCAAATGCAAAATCTGAAATCTTGAGGGACTACAGATACCGAAATAATAAAACTCAAATTCTTATAAAAATAAAATCATAGAATGATAGAATGATTTGGGTTGGAATGGACCTTAAAGATCATCTAGTTCCAACCCCCCTGCTGCGGGCAGGGACACCCTCCACTACACCACGTTGCCCAAAGCCCCATCCAGCCTGGCCTTGAACAATTCCAGGGAGGGGGCATCCACAATTTCTCTGGGCAACCTGTTCCAGTGCCTCACCACCCTCACAGGGAAGAATTTCTTCCTAATATTTAATCTTAATCTACCCTCCTTCAGCTTAGAGCCATTACCCATGCAATGAAATAAGTTTATTTGCCATTCACATATTTTTAAACCAAGGAATTACCCATTTCTTTGTGTACCAGAAGCAACATACTCTTTCAAGGGTTGCTGTGCACTTCAAAACTGAAGTCTTTTTTTAGAAATCTTAATTAGCAAACTTGAATATATCACTAAATATATGCATGGAAGAAATCTCCCCTGGTCTGAACTGTAAAGTAGTATCTTGACAGCCTGCACAGTTCTGTATATCAGCTGAGCTTGACAAAAGCTTAAAATAGTTCCAGTCTGTATGAAGAGGAGCCAGGTGATGTGAGGCAAATAGAATGAACAGAAACAAATTCTTCTCTTTCTGACCATGAGACTCTTGCTCTGATCTGTGATTTCTTTTATATCGGTACTAAGAAACTAAAGTAGTGGTTATATTACAGTTATAAATAAGGCCTATGAAACTGAGTCCATCACTAAATCTTCGGGCTTTCAAGAAAAGCCAAAATAGTAGTCATCCATACTTTGTGCGTTAACAGAAAGGCACATGCAAGTATATGTACAAGTAACAACCTTGTGCAAGGGAATCCATGCAAAAAACACAGATACGCTTAACTGATCAATCTAGCAAAGCAGGTTCTTAAATATTCTCAACTTCTTAACAGAGATGATGCACTATACGTTGCAGAGACACTGTGATCAATATGAGTTAGGTAGTAGATATATTTGTGAATTTAACACGTCTTGCTTACATTTAAAAAGAACATCTGCAGTGGTGATCTTCTGATTCTCCTTACTTTTACTCTGTGCATACCTTGCATCTAAAGAAGTACAACTAATCACCTACGTCATATAGAGAGAAGTTTTTTTGAAACCTGAACACAAGCTGCTATGTCACGGAACTATGACATCGGTAGAACTAGAGCCACTGTAAAGGCTGACAGCTTATACACATTAGCCCCTGATGAAACCCTGAACAAAGTGGATCCACTTGCAAATCACTTGCATCTAAAAAACTCTCATTGTTAGACTGATATTTAAATGGATGATTCTGCCAAACTACAGCCTAAGGAAAATACAATAATAAGACCATGCAAAGTTCTGGGAATGACTTTTCTATGCAATGTGCTTACCTAGTTTAATATCTCCATCTAATGTGAAAAGAATATTGCCAGCTTTTAGATCTCTGTGGATGATCTTATTTTCATGCAAGTAGTTCAATGCTTCCAGTGTCTGCCTGCACACCACTTTGATCTGCGGCTCTGTTAATGGCCTTTCAAGCTCTACAAGAGAAAGAGACAGAAATAAACACAACATTTTTGCATTTTATGTTGTTATGGGTTCATAGAAATCAGTATAGAGGTATATGTGAAAATTAATTAATCTGACAGATTCTGAACATTGTATGTCAGAAAAACTTCTATCTTAAAATATTTGCTCCTTTCAGTAAAAATTTCATCACTTGTACCCAAAACCCTCTTCATAATGAACTATGTATACCTACCTATCTGAACTGTGCAAAAGCAATACAGTTTAGAGATTGGTTCTTTTGCATGGTACACCAAGATTTTAAAGACTAGATCCTTTACTTACTGGTATTAGTATTCATCTAAATTGCAGAATAGGCACAGAAAAAAAATCTAACTTTAAGGTTGATGCAATATAAAAAAATCATCACAACATAATTTGGAAGATAGAAAGGGAAGAATGAAATGCTGAAAAGTGCTCAAATAGATTATGTTATAACAACAGAGAGCTCCAGAAGCATATGAGAACGTTACATTCACTTAAATGATCAAGACAAAAATGTGTTTTCAAAATAAACACTTTAAAGATGAGAGAAAATGAATCAACTTAAGAAGTTGTAATGTCCCTAGATGTAGGTGTAAATGCTATTTTAAACCCCCCAACATTCAACAGATGTAGCACACCAATTACATAAATACTTGCATTTCAACAAAATATACATGTGAAACAAGTCTTAAAATATGTATATATTACAATCTTAAGATGTTAAGTTTATTATTTGAAACAACTTATTTACCCAACATTACTGCATCTACTGCTCCACCTGCACAAAATTCGATCAGGATCTGTATATGAAAACAAAAATACACAAATTATAGATTAAATAGTTCCACTGAACTGAACCATTCACTAAGGGAACATTACTGGGAGAACCGAGTTTCAGACTGATTGGCCTTGACAAATTATTTCACTAACCTCTGCAAAATACTGGTAGTGTCACCCAGCTAAAAGTAGGTCTGTGCTGTTCAATCAAATTATTTGAAAAATGCCTGGAGATCCTCAGACAAAAGTTTTAATCCAAAGATAAAATTGCATAATAAAACTTATAAAACAGTCATATTGAATCTGACTCATTGTAATGTGATTTACATAACCCCTGCAAGCTCATTTCTCGATTATTAAACTGTACTGCTATAGTATAATCTCTCTGACTGAAAAATACAAGAGCTACATGATTTTCCAGTAGCAGATGTTATCTCTTCTGTTGTTTCAGATGAGACGAAAATATGGAAAAATACTCTTAAAAGTTACAGAAAATTAGTAAATTCAGATGTTTACATTCATTTTCCTCCATTTTAACCTCAACACGACCCAGAAATGTGCGCTTGCAGCCCAGAAAGCCAACCGTATCCTGGGCTGCATCAAAAGAAGAGTGTCCAGCAGGTCAAGGGAGGTGATTCTCCCCCTCCACTCCCCTCTCCTGAGACCCCACCTGGAGTACTGCATCCAGCTCTGGGGGCCCCAGTACAAGACAGACATGGACCTGTTGGAATGAGTCCAGAGGAGGGCCACAAAGATGATCAGGGGGCTGGAGAACCTCTCCTATTGGGACAGGCTGAGAGAGTTGGGATTGTTCCATCTGGAGAAGAGAAAACTCCAGGGAGACCTTATAGCAGCCTTGCAGTACCTAAAGGAGCCTACAGGAAAGCTGGAGAAGGACTGTTTTACAAGGGCATGGAGTGATAGGACAAGGGGTAACGGCTTTAAACTGAAGGAGGGTAGATTTAAATTAGATATTAGGAAGAAATTCTTCTCTGTGAGGGTGGTGAGGCACCGGAACAGGTTGCCCAGAGAAATTGTGGATGCCCCATCCCTGGAAGTGTTCAAGGCCAGGCTGGATGGGGCTTTGGGCAACGTGGTCTAGTGGAGGGTGTCCCTGCCCGCAGCAGGGGGGTTGGAACTAGATGATCTTTAAGGTCCCTTCCAACCCAAACCATTCTATCATTCTATGATTTTCCTTGATGCCTACAATACATCAAGGCTCTTATCCCAGAATCTAATACTAGAACAAGTCCATCTCCAGTTCTCAGTTTTCGTTTGAAACAAAAATAAACTCCAACTATTTGGGGGCACAAACTATGCTGACATGTAGGACAGAAAGAACATACAAAGGAGAAAGAGGGTAGACAAAGGGAACGAGGAGGGCAACAAAAAGGAAAGGTCATCCAAGACTGACATTCCACCCTTCATTACATGTTCGTCTTCTTTAATTTGAACTTTAAACATTAAATTACAATTTTCAGTCTGACAGCTAACGAGTATTTATTGTCAGAATCCTAACAGTCAATAGTCTGGGAAATGGTATCTTAACTTTTTCCTTTAGAGTACTTTAAAAATGAGAGCATAATTGCCCCTAAAAGAGGAAACCTCAAATTATACCTTATACCATAACACTTATATATACACCACTTATGTTACATATTACTTCAAATTACTATTACAATTAATTCTCACAACTATGGTACTAATAAATGCATTATATAGTGCAACTCCTTGTAAATTCTTTAAACCATTACTCCGTTTACATGCTTCTGCATACCTACTGCCAAGTAAGTTAAGTGTGGGAAACTGTAAATAAAGAATTTCTTTCTCCAAAATTTGCTGTTTGATCTGACAATATGACAAAGGCCTCTTTGGTAGAGAAATTGTGTTACTAAACCTGGAAAGTAAAAACATATTTTATATCCAACTATCTTTCTTTTCTTTTTTCCTCCACTAAATTCTGTTTACTTACAACATTATTATAATAGTCCCTTTGTCACTTTCATGTCTCTGCATTTCACTGTAACCACCTATCTACAATTTTATTATCTACAATTATATTTGCTCCTTTTCAATCTTTATTCTGCCAGTGAAGCCTATCGTTTAGTTTCATATTCTGCTTTTATGCATACTTGCTTTCATGCTGACCTTTATGCATGGATTTTTTTTTCACTATTCCACTGTTTTATACAATATCATTTTTCTCTGCATTCAGATCACAAAGTTTTCACAAAGCTTACCAAAATAAATCTACATCAGGAAACACAGTATTGGACTTCCATTGTTATCATGCTTAACGGATAAAGCACTCCAAGAAATTGTCTTTTACTTGTTTTAGGTATCTTTTTAAATTATAAGCTCTATTTAAAAAAACATGTATTCTTTGTACAATTTGAAAAACACTTATAAATGTTGCATTGAATCACCTAAAAGAAAAAATTGTATTTTCACAGCTAAAGCTATTCAGCACACAGGATATAGCAGAAGAGTGATGTACAGTCACGATACTTCTATGTACAAATATCTAGATTTTAAGTAAATTAATTATGGTTCAAGTCCTGGTAAACTGTCCTTCCTGGAAGTACCAATGAATTCACTCGTATCTAAAATACATACTTCACAGGCTGACCTTTTCAGCACATTATTTATTTTTCAGCCATGGATTCTGAATCTCACTCTAAATTGTGCTAATGTAATTAAAATCTGAGTCCTGCTGTTACAAATAAGCACTAAGAACTCTCTCCATACGTCAAAATGAACTGCTAATTTCCAAATTTTAGATTCAAACTCCTGACTAAATGACTCAGCATACCTCAGTTTTACAGTGGCAATTTCCTAAAAGTCATACTCACAATTTACAAATTAGTTTTGAAACTGAATAGTTACCATAATTGTGACAACCCAGAAGAAATGTGATTGACAAATGATCTTTTTTTTTTTCCCTTGGCTTTATTAAAAGTAATTTCAATAAGCTTTTGAAATTAGCAAAAGCATTTAGAGAAGAAAAAAATACCTACCCACAGATTGTTTTCATAGTAGAAAGCATCTAGGAGCTTAACAATATTAGGATGATCACAGGATGCTAAAATATCGATCTCAACCATGTAATCTTCAAGTTCTTCTTCTGACTTAGTATCAATCACCTTTGCAGCAGCCAGTACTTTTGTTTCTTTGTTCTGAGCCTATAAAAAGAAGTCACAGCAAACATATATATGTGAATTGCACCACACAACTGTCACCAGCAAAAAAAAAAAAGCCCAACAAAAAACGCCTCTCTTGACATTTCTATGCTATTTTCCTGTCTTTGCTTCTCTACAAAAAGAGAAGATCTGCATATTAAAGACTAAATAAATTCTAGATAAATTCTATCAGAAAAAAGGTTTTATAACTTTTCTCAAAGTCAAGAAACAATGAAAGATAGGAATATGCTTTAAACCATCATGCAATCAATAGCTTAGGGTCATTACTATTTTGTACTCCTAAGATGAAGTTCTGTGCTGCTCCTCAAAATACTATCTATTAATGCTTGGCAAGGAGCATTAAGTAGCCTCCACCCTCTCATTTCTGACTGCACATTCTTGCCCTTCTGACACTCCCCACGTTGTGGCAGCACAGCTGTTTGCAAAGCCACATAGAAAAACAGATCCTCTACCAGTAATCAGTAGGTTACTCTTCGGCCAGGGGCTGTATTCAAGCTCCCATGTTAAAAAAGCTTCTAAGACATCATTAATTTGTCTGGGCATTTTACTCTCTTTGCGTCTGAAGTGTAGGAGCAGTTCCACAGATGGCTACTTATGGAAGCTGGCCACGCTGAAAATGCTGCCAGCCTCTATTTTCTCCACACCTTAAAACTAGGGGGAACTAGGAACTGCTCTAGTGATAAGGTCAAATGCAGAACAAGTAAGATTTGGACTTGAAAAGCAAAAGGAAAACAAGACCGTGGATACCCAAAAAGAAAAAAAATCCTGCTATGTATTTAAATATTGTTTGGGTTTTTTTAAACATAAGAAATTACAAACAATTAGGGTTACTGTTATTTAAATAACAAAAAAAAAAAAAAATCAGAATCCAGTTGCTGTAAATAATTATTCACAGAATATTACTAAGAATCTAATCCAGCAAAACTAGGCAAGGTGAGTTGTTTTTTTTTAATATGTGGGGGATAAAGCAAACATTAAACACACAGCCTATATATGTGTACATACACACACAAAATTATACACACGTTCTAATAATTCTCTTGTAAGTTATGTTTGAAGGAATACTGTAACTTGGAATGTAGTAAATTTAAAAAAAGAATGTATATTTCCTCAAGCCATCATAAAAACACTAGTTTGTTCAGGCATATCCAGTGGTTACATTTTGTCTCTGAATAAATGAAGTTGTAGCACTGAGGTCTACTTCACCAATTATATGTAAAGACCACGAAGAAAAGGCCTAGATTTACTCCACCTAGCTTTTGACATTCAAATGAAATTAAATGGGAAGTAGGGAGATAGGCTCTATCCAAAGTAGCAAAAACCTAAGCAGCAGCAGAGGCAATTCTGACTCCTGATGTGAACCATCACAAGGTGGTTCATCCCGTCTCTGCTGGTGCAGCTGCTGCACGGGGCATCTTGACCCCAAATCTAGTCGAGATGAACTCATGACAGGACACAGCAAGAATCCCAAAACCTGACTTCTGTCACCTAATCTCATTATACTAATATCAGAGAAAAGCTGATATGAGACAGCAAGTAAGAATTCTTAAGAATGATTTCCAAGGTCTAAATATTACTACATTCAAAGCCATAAATAATTCTCTCAATGTGGCAGAAGAAAATAAAAGATTTAAAAATAAACATTTATGATAACATTCAGTAAAACAGCAGTAACAGCAAAACACACTCATGAACACAGTCCTAGCTGATTCATCTTATGTTGAGTTGAGGGTAAAGGTTTTCTGTAACATTTATTTTTATCTCAGTATTCTTTCCACAACAAAAAACCCAATCAATCTTCCCAACCTCAGTATCTGCCCTCCCATTTTTAACAACAAAGCTGAGAGATCTGTATAACATTATTTGAAAACAAACCACTGAAGTTTTCCAACACACATTCTAATAATAAAAAGGTCTACTTAATAACAGAAACATAATTTGTTTTGGTTTCATGTTTTATAGCAAGAATGAAAGACCAACCTTCCTATTCTAGAGCTGGACTGTAAATTAAACGTGAAAGGTGAAACAAATATCTGTTTCCACAATGGAATTAGACGTGGTAGCTTTACATGTGCAAAAATAATGGTTGATAAAGCACTTTTCTAGAGAATTAAAATATTAACTGTAAATTTACTTTCTTTGAAGCATGCATGGCCACACACTCTCTCGAATCTTACAAGAAGGATATTTAAAAAAAAAAATCTGAAATTCAATTTTACACAAATTTGCATGTAAACTATATAATAATAATGGTAATAATTTTTTTTTTAAATAAAACTATTTTAAACTTCTACATCAGGTAACAATAACAGATGTTACTGTTTTCAGATTCAGTTTCACCTTTGAGAGAGAGTGGGGCACTGGTAAATTAGCATGCATGATTTACATGCTAGGGAGTTTGCTGCATTTATAGCATATATTGCTTTTTTTCCCGTTGACAGAATACTTTGTATTTTGATTTTTCCTAGATCTTTTTACTTGAAGTAACTAGAAATCTGCTAAGTTTCTTTTATTTCCTCCTTGTGGTAGCTCTATTAAAACACCTCATTAAAAATCAGAAGTGATTATAGAGACAGAATGATTATCTTTATGAGCATCTTAACAATTATAAACAAAACAAATGTTCACCTTTGTTCTGACTTGAGATACTAAAATTTTGTAGGTCTAGATCCAGACTTTTTTTCCAGTTCTCAAAATAAAAAAGCTTTAAAATCAGCATATTTCCACTGGGTATTTCTGAGGACTGATAAAACATTTTAAGTTACACTTGAAAATAAAAATTTAAAAATCTTCATTTTTAAACATGATTTTAAAAGTTCTTTTTGAATAAGACATTATTCGTCTCCACTCCACAATGCAGCCTATAATAAATGATTTGCTGTAAGAAGCACATAAGAAATATGCTCTTTACAACTCTGTAGGAAAGGATTTTACTGTTCATGCATAAGATTTACGTAGCACTGTATTGACTGGAAATAAAACCCCCTCTGGATTAAGAACAAAAAAATGCATTTACAGCTTTGTGTGGGCATGTTTGTTTTTCCTAGACTTTGGCTGAAGTCTTTCTTAAGCCACATAACATTCTCCAAAGGTCAGAGCAGGAGCAAAAAATGTGTAGATGCAGTCTTGATTTGCATATGCTCATTTTGTGTTTGGGTACATGAACATCTAAAGTGAAATAGCCATTCAAGTTACTCAGCGGTTCTGCCCCCTCAAAATACGTCCTGTATCAGTAGCTCAGCAGCTTCTTCCTATATTTTAGCTCTCAGATACCATTGCAAGCCGTTCCAAATGCTCTGCTTAAGTACATTTGATTCTGATTCCATGACAGGTGATTTAAGCTGTAGAAATGCAAACTGGCATCTTCAGTGGTTATGGTTCAATCTTGCCTTATGTGGAGACAAGGAAGAAAGGAGGGAGAAAGATTTTCTTTCTTTAACAAAATTTGATCTTTTCAAAAGACTCATACACCATGGTTAAAAACTGAATTAGAGTAACTCATTCCCAAGATCTGACTAATGCAGTATGACACAGAAATGATTAACTAATATATGCAACAATACATAAATATTGCAATCCTTCCACCAAAATTTGTATTTGGATTATATAGTTACGATTACTGCAGCAAACGTTAACTACAGAGAGGCAGTATGCACAAGAGAATAGCAAACTGTATGTTACAGTACAGTTCTTGCAGTGGATGGCACAGTTTCATTGGCAGAAAACACAGAAAAATACTTTTATTCTCCTAATTCTAAGATAAAGTACTTTTAGAAAGATGGATTGCAGGTTTGCATAGAATAAATATGTTCTTGTAAATTAGAACTTGCAAATTACTTTCTGAACTTAAATCCCCCACAAATGGCAATGACATCTAATGCACAAAAACGTAAACATTTGAGAACGTATCAGTACAAGAAGGAAGAATAACCATTTACACAAAACTGGGATCTGCAAGTATGTGAAATTACTGACTCCTCCCTATTAATCCTTACTTTTTGTACAGCATCATATATGCAAATATAAGTTCCAGAGCCAGAAGCTTTTTGAAGAGACTGATAGCAGACTATTAAAAGGCATATTTACTGGCGGGGCATTCAGCCAAGAAGTTGCATATTCCCAGCCATGGGCAGCAGGGAGAGCAGAGCCACCATCCAGAGTAATAGGATTACAGCTCAGAGATAGCTCATAGTCTTTCATCTTTAGATGGCCAATATGAAGTTTCAGCCTTGGTTGTGTCAAGCTGTTTCAGTGTCCTATCAACAGCAAATGTTTCCTTCCCAACTCTGCAGTTCCTCTCCTGCAATGTAGCATGCAGATACAAAAAATTAAACACTATTTACAACTGAAAAAAGTTAAGTAGGTCCTTCATCCCTTGTTCAGCCAACCAGAAACAAAGCTGATACACGAGATAGAAAATTATTCATCACCTTTCTTCCCAATGCCTGATCTCTTTTGAGATGTTATATAACCACACAGCATGTTTTGCAGGCAGCAAAACAAATCAATTAAGAAGCTTTTCCTTTCTGACTCATTCTTCTCAACAAAACTACAGTCATAATCATAGATCATCAAGGTTGCCAAAAAGTGAAAAATACACGCACGCTATTCAGCAAAAGAATGGTTTTGCATGTAAAAAGCTACACTTTTGTGTAAACCTGGGATTGTCAGATCTAGCTTTATGACGATGTCTGAGTAATCAGTCCTGAAAAGCTGTCCTTGTACAACATAAAGGCAAGAGCTGTTTCTCAGAGCTATCAGAAAGCAGTGGATCTCAGGCTTTCTTAAACATATGAACCAAGGAAAAAACCCAAAACTATAATTTCACATTTTAACAGCCTGATCAAATAAATCTGTAAGTAGTAGTGTGGCCTGCTGGAAAAGCTACACAGGTCTTTGTTTTGTATAAATTTACTATACCGTATTTAACATTGTCCTGTGCATTTTGAAACTAAAAAAACCTGCACGATCAGTATCAAATG